CAACAACTACCACAACGGCCACCTTGACATCCCAGCGGGGCACGATGCTGATTTGTGGGCCCGTCTCCGAAGGAACGTCAACGCACGTCATGGTTCGATCACAGTATTGTGGATCCCGTCACACATGGATGAACATGACATTTGTAAGAATAAAATCTCGGCCACCCTCGCTTACGGCAACACGATAGCCGACGAGCTGGCAGGTGCGGCAGCCCAAGCCGCACGAGTGCCAGCACCAGATCGCCAACGGTTTGCGCTGGTAGAGCAAAAAACATGTCTTGTTCGTATGCGCCTGCTGCGCACATCGTTGGAGGCACTAGAACATGATAGATTGGCCAGTCAGTGTAACGGGAACCCACGCCCAAATAGGCTGAAGGGGGCGGCACCCCCAAAATCGCCTGCCCCCAGAGTTTGCGCCCTGTTTAGATCTCAACACGTTTTAGACTCCTGTGGTTCCAAGTGCACCCGTTGTAGGACCTCGACCACCCAGGCCTCAAGAGCTCAGTGGTTAAGCAGTGAGTGGTTCGAGTTCTGTAATGTCGATGGCACCTATATGATGGTTCCTCTTGGGAAGCAGGTTCACGTAGCAAGGGGATATATCGATCAGACTCACACTTAAAGGTTCCACGCTGGGCTGAATGTGTGGTTCTGTTCTGTCTGCGGGTCGTACGCAAACCAGCTCCTCGGGAAACTCGGGGACCGTTGCGACAAACCCACCCCGACTGGGTTAGAATACCTGCGGAGAATAGCCAAGGGGCTCTGGCCAAAGGCCCTCAGCCGAGCCGAGCGCGATGCCAGAGCCAAGAAAACCCCTGAGGGTGGCGGACATTTAATTTCTCACATCGTTACGCGATCAGGCAGAGACTCCAGAGACTCCTCCTCCTCCTCCTCCTCCTCCTCCTCCTCCTCCTCCTCCCCCTCCTCCCCCTCCTCCCCCTCCTACCCCTATCCTCCTCCTCCTCCTCCTCCTCCTCCTCCTCGTCCTCCTCCTCCTCCGCCTCCTCCTCCTCCTCCTCGTCCTCCTCCTCCTCCTTCTCGTCCTCGTCCTCCTCCTCGTCCCCCCCCTCCCCCTCCCCCTTCCCCTCCCCCACCTCCGCCTCGGCCGAAAGGGCACCCCGCGGCGGCCGGGCCACGGTGGGGCAAGTCGCACAGCAGGGGGTGGCGCGCAGCCCCCCAGATCCTCACACTCCTCATCCTTTTTCTCCTCCTCCTCCTCCTCCTCCTCCTGTTCCTGTTCCTGTTCCTGTTCCTGTTCCTGTTCCTGTTCCTGTTCCTCCCTGTCCTGCTCCTCCTCCTCCTCCTCCTCCTCCTCCTCCTCCTCCTCCCATTCCTCCTCCTCCTCCCCCTCCTCCTCCTCCCCTCCTCCCCCTCCCCCTCGGCCAACGAAGACGGCCGTAGGGGGGGGTGACCCGTACCTCCATCTCAAGGCATTCGTGCCGCCACCTACAATTCCAGGCACCAATTGCCACCCACCACATCTATCCTCCTTTGGGCCGTGAACGGGATTTATTCCCTGATTGTGCCTGTCAGCGTCAGTCAGCCTTTACATTTTAGCACTTGGGTCACCCCAGCAGTGCACCAAGGGTGACGGTTCGACCCGCGCTGTAGTGGCACTCATGCGGTCGTGTCCCTCTCCCCGCCCACCTAGGGTGATGGCTCGACTAGGTGATGGCTCGACCCGTGCTGTAGTGGCACTCGTGCGGTCGTGCCCACTCCCCGCCAACCAATCGAGAAGACCTACCTCCAGGATCCCTTGGGGCCACAAATCTACGTGTGACTTCAGTCTCTGTCCCCCCCACCCCTCTCCCCCCCCCCCGCTTTCCCGGGCCCCCACCCCGCCCCCACCCCGCAGTGCGTTCAGGTTCAGGTGGCCCTTCTCAGGATCCCGCTTCAGGACCGTCCGTGACCGTGGCCACGCGATGGCCGCCCGCAGCCGCTCGCTGGGCCTCTTCTGCTCCTTTTGCGGCAACCACGACCACATCGGGAAGGACTGCGCCGCGCTCGACATGGCGGAGTCCCTCACCGACGCGCTCGGCCTTCTGGAGTCCTCAGGGCGCCCCCCGCGCCACTACCAGGCGCGCGCTGGGCGCTCGACCAGCCGCCGCGGTCGTTCCCGGAGCCCGCCAAGACGCTACGGCCGCTCCAGGCCCCGTCGGCGCAGTGTCCCGCATGCGCCGTCGCGGTGCACCGTCGACACCGCCCGCGGGCACGCTCCCGACCCTGCTGCCTCGCCACTGCTGCCCCTGGCTGCCCCTTTCCCGCCGGTGCCTCCCGGCGGACCGTCGCCTCTGGCTGGCCAGCCTCCTCCGCCCATGCCCGCGCCTGGGCTCGAGGCTGTCGTCGATCCAGTCGCGCGCCAGCTCCTCGGCCTCATGCAGCAAGCTGGGTATGGGGGCCCCCACGCCGTGCAGCGCTCTCTGCCAGGTCCCGCCACCCACGGCCACTCCACCTTGGAGGGGGTTCGCCGCGCGACTCGTGGGCTGGGCCACGAGGACCTTCGCAAGCTGGTGTTCGACGAGGATGAGGTGTCCCTCACCATCCGCAACGTCGCCTACGGCGTTCCCCCTGGCTTTGATCCAGACCTCGCCTGGGAGGGCCCGCGCTTCAAGGACGCCCGCATTGCATGCAATGCCGAGACGATGCGTCGCTGCAAGGCCCTCTGCACGGCCAAGACGCGCAGTGCCCTCACCGAGAATCCAGGCGAGTACATCCCGTGCGTCATGAGGTCCCAGGCCCGCCGGAACTTCCAGAAGATAGTGCCACTGGTCCCCATGGATGCCGACACATACAACTTGAATGTTTTTCTCACATGGCTCACCCGGAACTCCCCATACACGATGAAGAAGGACGCCCTCCCAGACATGATCTCCAAGGTCGCAGCCAGCATGGTCGACGACGGCCAGGCCATCATCGAGGCTCAAAAGGCTCGCTAGAGGCCGCCCTCCTGCCTGCCGCGTCCATCCGTGCCCTCGCGCGGTCGCCCGGCCCCGCGGCCCCGGGCCCCGCCGCCGCGGCTGCCCGAGACGCCGCGGCGGCAGGCGCTGTCAGCATCACCCTGGAGGACCTGCTGAACTACTCCTTCACGAAGCTCCACGACGCCCGCCAACCCAAGTCCCTCGATTGGGCCCTGGAGGACACTGACGTCACGTCAGACGACACCTAGGAGCTCCGCAACAAGTTCAAGGTTTACCACGCCGCCCTCAAGGCGCTCGCCCCCAAATCCACGGGCGGCCGCGCCAAGACCCCGGGCAGAGCCAATCAACAAGCCAGCGCAGCCTTCAAGAAGGCGGTCGAGACTATGGGGGTCAAGTTCGACGCCACCCGCCTCGCGGACGTCGTCAAGCTTGTCGCGGCCGTCCGGGCCCGCAGCGACGAGCTCGGCCAGTGACTGACTACGGCCGCTCTCAGCGGCCGTCCATCCGGCGGCATCTGGGACGTGCATTGTGACGGGATGCCATGCGTCTCCCGGACCCCGCACATTCGCTTGGTTGTCTCCACCCTCATCGGCCTCATTCAAGACTACCTGTACGTACTCTACTTTGACACGGGACCCCTCAAATGGGGCAGCATCTTTGCGCTGCAAAGCGCCGGTTTTGGTCTTGCTGCCCATTTCCTCATGGCCTCCACGTCCAAGCGCCACGCCCGGCTCCGCATCCTTGCAACCACCCTCCCGCGGTCCACGTGGCCGCCCTCCGAGCCCTTGCTCGACGCATCGTTCGTCGTCTACATTATGTGGAGCCCGTGGCGCCCGTGCTTCTACGTCGGCAAGACGGTCAACTTCCGCGAACGCCTCCGCAAGCACATCTACGCTTTCCTCAACACCTCCCGCGACTCCCAACAGCCATACATGGAGGTGCTTCGCCGGCAAGCCAGGGGAGATGCCGCCCGTGCTGCCTGGGCATGGTTCTACCTCCCCATCGCCTGCTTGCCCAGCGACGCGGAAGCCTTCACCCTCGAGCAGCACGTCATCGCCTCCGAGCACCCGCGGCTCAACGTGCCCTACGTCCACCATTTTGCCTTGCCAGGCAATGGGCCACACCCGGCCCGCGGAAGGTTGTGCCTCACGGCTGCGGCTCCGACATCACCGGCGAGGATCTCCCAGTCCCGTCGGCGCGGACAGGCCATGACCTCGCGCGAACCATCCGCGTCGGCATGCCTCCTCGCCTTGTCCGGCCCACCATCCACGCCAATCACTCGCTGGGCCCACATCGCATGCAACACCTTGGCGGATGACGACGTCCGCCCTGGCCACGCTGATTAATACCGGCTCACGGCAGAGGAGTGGCGCGCAGTCTGGCACCGCGTCCACAAGCGGCATGAGGGCACCACCCGCGCCATCGGGCTCAAGGCCCTCGAGTCCGTTCGCCGCTTCCGTCGCCGGTCCAGGCCGCGCCTCCACGTGCAGGGCGCTCTCCCATGGCTGCCGCACTCGGGCACCAAACGCGCGTTCCAGGGCATCATCCACCGCCTCATCCAACATGCCCGGAAACGTGGCCAGACCTTGCTGCTGCCGGCCATTCGCGACCTCAAGGTCATGCTTTCGCCAATGGCGGTCATTGCGCTCCGGGCCGGCTTGCGTAATGCCCCCAGCTTCTACCGCCGTCTTGGCGATACTGGGATCACCGCTGTGGTTAGGAAGTAGATCAGTAGGTTATAAGTACTTATAAGATAACATAGTATATTGCCTATCTTAATATATAAGCACCTTAACCTTACTTATAAGCCATCGATGTCACTTAAGGTTTCGGCTATCTAGATGGACAACTTGACATCCACATAGGGTTTCCGAGGGCTACTTATAAGTACTTACTAAGTGAGATAGCCTAAGCAGGCGAAGTAGGATAGGGAGGATAGGCTAAGCAACTTAGGAAGCCGCTAACCTAGATAGCTATCCTACTTCTGCGTGTTTGGGACTTCAAGAATCACTGGTCGAATCATGGAATTCTAAGCACCCCCCACACAGAAATCACACCCAACATCATCAGTTTCATCATTATCGTAGCCTTTTTTTGTTCGAGGCGTGGCGATTTCTTGTTCTGAGTTTCGGATTCTCTTGTCTGGCGGGCTCTAACTTGGACTTCTGCTCCAGGCCGATGGCATCAATTGAGGAGAACCTCAGGCTCGTCGCGAGCGACGTCGAGCAAGCACTTTCGGCCGCGACATCAGACAATCCTAATCCGTCTCAGCTTGTTTCTAAGTGTGAGAACCTCCTGCGGACGTTGGGGAAACACGACTTGTTGTACGAACGCATCATCCCGAATGATGAGGTGAGGGTCCACTCCACCAACAGAGACGGAGTGGGCTTGGACCCGTTCGACGTCCACTGCTTGATAGAACGGGTGCTGCGTCAAGGATGGGTATCAGCAAAAACTGTCAGTTCGGTGTGTTTCGAAGTGGATCCACGGTCTGACAACCAGTGCACATTCAACGAGACACTTGCATTGAGCAGCGACGGGATGATTGCACCAGTGCGGAAGGAGAACTTACACTTTCTCAGCGTGGCTGGCAGCCACACGGTTGGAGGGTTGAATGCGGTGGCTCATTCGTGCGCAACTTTCTTGGACGAGATCGCCACCGACGGCCGCTTGTCCATCGACAAAGTGAGGGCCGTCAACGCGGACTACGCGGACGCAGTTGCGACTGGATTCAAATGGCGAGTGATTCGTTGGCAGGTTGACGAAAGGTTCCCAGGATTGGCCGCCTACATCCAGGAGGCGATGAATTCGGGTCATGACACGGAGCGTGTGGCTACTAAGATCCAGGTGCTCCTCGAGCTTCACCGCAAGGGCAAGGCCAACGTTTCTCAGCACGGAGACTTTCGATGGCAGAACATCGCGACGAGCGTGGAGGCTTCGAAGCAGCACATGAGGGGCCAGATCATGGACATGACAGCTTTCGTCGAGCGCTGGAGCGGCGGAGCCTCGGGCGACTTCTTGGCATCGCTGAACGAGTGGGCGAAGACCCTTCGCAGCCGTGCTGAAGTTCCTGGGAGCATGTTCAAGATGCTGAGCAGCCTGGAGCTCGACAGCATGCCCGAGGTGGTGTACTCCTTACTCAAAGCGGCCATGCGCTCACCGCCTAAGTACTGCCACGCGGGGACAACGACAAGCAAACTCCTGAACAGCACGGACGTCGGGACCTTGATCAAGGACAAGCGCAGGGAGCTCATCGACTTGGCCGCAAAGGCGCGGGCATCGAACATCTGGTACACCGAGGACCTCCTGAAGGCTGGCGTTCACGTGAGCAGGGCTACCTTCGTCAAGCTCCAGGGTGTCATGGAGGTTGATGCGATTATGTTCTTGATGAAGAAGGCTGTCCCTAACAGGGCCGCGCACGCTAGCTTGGACCAGATTGCAGGTGAGTTCATGGACGCACTGTACTTGGCGCACCCAGCGCTGAAGGACGTCCAGCCCCCCTGGAACCCGCCCGAGAAGAAGTCGTCGCCCAACTCCAGCAAGAAGGGACAGAGCGGCTTCCGAGAGCTTTCGACGGGCGGTCTCAACATGGGCGTCGTCACGTCGTTGGGCTACAAGCAAGGCCTGATGGTTGAGCTCAAGAAGAAGCCAGAGGACGTGGGCGGGCCCCAGCAGTGGCAGATCAGCAAGATCGATGCCGTCAACGACATGGTGATGCTCAAGACGGTCAGGGACGGGGAGGTCAGCAAGCTCATGGAGGACGTCGTGGAGATCGACTGCGGCAAGCTGGTCGATTTGTACAAGGTGGGGACGGGTGATGATGATGATGATGATGATGATGATGAAGGTGCTGGTGGTGATGACGATGATGATGACGACGACGATGATGATGCTGATGATGATGATGATGACGATGATGGTGATGATGATGATGATGATGGTAATGCCGACAATGATTGCGATGATGATTGAGAACCTCAGGAGGGACCAAACGACCTGAAGAGACCGAACGGCCCAAGAGGGGACCACATGACTCAGGCCATCCGGCCTCAGTCGTTCGGCCCCCTGCTGAGTCGTTCGGTCCCGTCATGGGTTCCCTCTCCTCCTCCTTCATCCTTTTCCTATTCCTCATCCACCTCCTCCTGGGGGCTTTTGAAAGCAAAAGAACATGACACGCATGGGTTTTGTTTCATTGTCCCATCCTCGCCTCTCGAGCCGTACCCCCCCCGCGCCCTCGCGAGGTGGTGGTCGAGCAGGAGGTCGAGCGGTTCGAGAGCAAGGGCGCCGCCCTCTCGGACACCCGAGGTGGAGGAGGAGGAGAGGGAGGAGGAGGAGGAGGGGGACGAGGAGGAGGAGGAGAAGCAGCAGCAACAGGTGGAGGAGGAGGAGGAGGAGGAGGAGGAGAGGGAGGAGGAGAAGGAGGAGGAGGAGGAGGAGCAGCAGGAGAGGGAGGAGAACGAGGGGACGAGGAGGAGGACGAGTAGAAGTGGAGGAAGACGATGAGGAGGAGACGGATGATGAGGATAAGGATGGGAAGGAGGAGGAGGAGGGGATGAGGGGGGAGGGAGGGCGGAGGAGGAGGGCAATGCGAAGGAGGAGGAGGAGGAGGAGGAGGAGGAGGAGGAGGAGGAGGAGTAGGAGGACCACGGGAAGGATGACGAGAAGGGCGAGGAGGAGGAGGAGGAGGAGGAGGACAAGAGGAGGGGTAGGAGGAGGGGGAGGGGCCCGAACGACTCACACCAGGAGGTGAGTCGTTCGGGCCCGTTCAATATCCACTTCCTCCGAATGTGTCTCTGCTGTGTGCGTGCATGTGCAATGCTTTCGTGTACACCCACAATGCTGCCCGTTTAAGCCTCCCTGGCACCCCCGCGCAAGCCTTCGAGGCAAGGCTGCGCCTCCTCTCGCGGCGACACACTGCAGTTGCCGCGGCCTGGGACGAGTGCAGGAGTGGGCCTGGCTGGCTCGTCCCAGGCTGACTGCCCCGGGGCTCGCGCGAGGTGGCGTGGGTCCGTCGGGTGCCAGGGGCGTTTTTTTACATCATGATATCTGCGAATTCTGAGCGATACCGAATGTTGTCCCTCGTGCTCGCTTGCGGCGTGCGGGTTTTGAGCGATGCCGAACGTTGTCGCTCGCACTGCTTGCTGTTGCAGAAAAAAACGATACAAATACTTGCACAGTTGCAGATCCAACTGTATATGTATATAACATGGGGAGGGCAGCGGGGACGGAGAGGGGGACTGAGGACGAGGAAAGAGGGAGGGGCATATGGGGAGGAGGAGAGAGGGGGGGGTGTCTGGGGAGGACAGCGGTGGACGGGAGAGGAGGCGCAAAACGGAGAGCTGAGGAGATGACGGACGATGAGGATGATGATAATGGTGATGAGGAGGAATAGGAGGAGGGTAGGGGGAAGGATGATGATGATGACGATGTCGATGAGGAGCGATGAGGAGGAGGAGGATGAGGAGGAGGAGGAGGAGGAGGAGGCGGAGGCGGAGGAGGAGGAGGAGGAGGAGGAGGAGCAGGAGCAGGAGAAGGAGGAGGAGGAGGAGCGCCCCCCTTTCTCCCCATAAGGAGACGTTGGGCGCGTCCGTGCTGCGTGCGTCGCTGATCGCGAAAGAGGCGATGTTCTCGGCCTACGCGTCCAACTCGCAGGCCGTTGATGTCGACATATTGTTTTCCCGCGGCGCGGGTGCTAAGGTCAATGTGCAGAAAGTTGTTGTCAACAAAAAATACGACAAGGGGTCTCTCGTTCTTGTTGCACTCTCCAATACCTGTAGCGTTGCCCTCACTGCCAGAGTCCCCGCAGGTGCCGTGCATTTTTTTAGGTTTGACGGCATCCCAGTAGGCCATTCTGCGTTCGTGGTTCCTACACAGGTGTGGCCCGCAAAGGCGGGCGCCAGTAAGAAACAATCGTTCGTGGCTCCATTTTGGGAGGTCCCTTCCACTGATGCCAGAGGGGATGCCAACATGATTGACGGCGTTGTCAAAGTAGAGGTCCATAGGGAATGCAAGCCTGGATCTGGTAGTTCGAAGATTGTCGTTGCGGTGCCGTGTTTGGTCAATTCGAAAGCGGTTGCAAAAGACTCCGCGTTGCTTCGCTTAAAGGCAGACCACCAGGCTGTCAATGCGAAGAGGGCCGCCGACGAGCCCCAGGATAGCCCGAAGGTGCCAAAGGACACCAAGAAGGCTAAGAGGTGATTCCAAGGGATGGGCTGTGAATCTCAATCAGTTTATGTCTAGAGGCCATTAGAGTTCGTACCCCAGTGGTCACATCCCATGGTTGGCCTCAGAGTTCGTACCCCAGTGGTCACATCCCATGGTTGGCCTCGCATGTCGAGCTTCGCGCGTGTGTGTGTTACCTATGCTGTTTTCCACTGCCTCGGGCACAGCACGCGCTGCGACATTGTGGCTTGGGGCGGTGCGTATCTTCAGCTGGCCTGGCGTTAACAGTTTGAGGGTTGCGAGCGGCTGGCAGAGTTTTGCTTAGCCGCACGTCAGGCTGGCTGCGACGGTTCACCGCTCGCTCTGGAATCACGCCAGCAATAATACGATCGGTTGAACCCCAGGAGGAGGAGGAGGAGGGAGCAGGAGGAGGGGGGAGGAGGAGGAGGAGGAGGAGGAGGAGGAGGAGGGAGGGAGGGGAGGAGGAGGAGGAGGGGGCACAATAATCCACGAGTGGACGTCTTGCACACCTTTTTGCCCGAGTTGTTAAACCAAACGCAGATGGGGGAGGGAGGAGGAGGAGGGCGACGAACACTGGTCGACCATTGAACCTCGCATGGGGCGGTTCATGGTCAGAATTTCGATGCGAGTCCAGCCGCAGCGACGGGGGCCCCGAAAACGACCGAAACGTCAGATCAGGGGGCGAGGCGCAGAATCAGGAACGACCGCAGGCGGCAGCGGCCCCCCTCCTGGATTCCATCTCCTCCTCCTCCTCCTCCTCCTCCTGCTCCGCCCCCCTCCTCCTCCTCCTCCTCTCCTCCCTCTCCTCCTCCCCTCCTCCTCCCTCCTCCCTCCTCCTCATCCTCCTCATCATCATCGTCATCATCACCATCCTCCTCCGCATCCTCCTCTGCCTCCTCCTCCTCCAGCTTCCCCTCCTCCTCCTCCTCCTCCTCCTCCTCCTCCCCCTCGTCCTCCTCCTCCTCCTACTCCTCCTCCTCCTCCTCATCATCATCATCACCTTCCCCCATCGTCACATTCCTCTTGCTCTTCCTCTTCCTCCTCCTCCTCCTCCTCATCCGCCTCCTCCCCATCCTCCTCCTCCTCCTCCTCATCGTCCTCATCCTCAACCTCCTGGGGTTCGTTTGGAACTTGCTGGCTGTCTCAAAGGGCTGACTGTCCCGAAAGGCCAGAGAGGGGGGGGCGCAGTTTTGAGGCCGCGAGGGGGAGGGGGCACACTCTTCCCGCCGCCCCCCCACGCTCGTCTCCCCGCGTAGCCATTTTGGCTCAAGCTCGTGACTCTTCTCAGACTCGCCCGCAGGCCGACTGGGCGCGATGCCAGTCACCATCAAGGACGGGTTCAGTGTGATCGCAACTGACGAGGACGTGTCGATCGCGAAGAGCTGGGTCGTGAAAAAAACGTTTTCCGACAATCGGTCGCGGGTGCTGTGTGATCGGTTGAACGCTGGCTTCCGCGCGTTCTGTTTGAACGGCTTCGACATGCTGGACATGATGCACGCCAAGCGGAGCGAGGTGTGCGACCCCCTCCTCGCCGCTGCTGCCGCCCCCCAACTTGACGAGGAGGCGGAGATTGGCCCCCCAGCGGCCAAGGTGGCCAAGAAGGACGCCTTGGACCAGATCCCAGGCGCTTCTCATCATATGTATATCCATCCTCATTCTCCTCCTCCCCCTCATCATCATTCCAATCACCATCCTCCTCCTCCTCCTCCTCCTACTCCTCCTCCTCCTCCTCCTCATCCCCCTCATCCTCCTCCTAGTCCTCCTCCTCCTCCTCCAGCTCCTCCTCCTCCTCCTCCTCATCACCCGCCTTCTCCTCCTCCTCCTCCTCCTCCTCTTCCTCAGCATCATCATCATTATCATCATCGTCATCATCATCATCATCATCATCGCCCCCATCCCCCCCCCCCTGCATGTTCCCCCTCCCCCCTCCTCCGCATCGCATTCCTCCCCGTCACCCCTCCTCCCCCTCCTCCTTCTCACCCTCATCTCCCTCCTCATCATCATCCTCATCATACTCCTCCTTCTCATCATCCTCATCATCATCCCCATCCTCCTTAACCTCAGCCCCGTCATCATCCTCGTACTCCTCCTCATGTTCCTCCCCCTCCTCCTTCTTCCCCTCCTCCTTCTCCTCCTCCTCCCCCTCCTCCTCCCCCTCCTCCTCCTCATCGTCATCATCGTGATCACCATCACCATCCTAGTCCTCCTCCTAATCTTCCTCCTCCTCCTCCTCCGCCCCCTCCTCCTCACCTTCCTCCTCCTCATCCCTGTGTTCTCCCCGCCAGGCTTCGTCAGCATCACCGTGACCGACGAGAGCGGCGGCACCCACACGATGAACGTCAAGTCGGCGGCATATCGCCGCACGCATCTGCAGATCGAGATGCTACCCTCCAATTTGGAAGTCTTGCAGATGAAGCCTCTGGTGGTGGCCTCGGGCGACTGGGCACCCGTTATCGACAACCCTTTGGTATCGTGGCTCGCGTACCGCCACGCCCTCTCGGTGTCGTATTGCTGCGCCAACAAGGGCAAGGTCCTCCACAAATCTATGAAAGTACCGACTAAAGGCGACGCCCAATGCAAGCAGGCCGGGGCCGAGAAGATCGCAGCCGTGTTGCTCGAGTGGCGGGCGCAGCACCACACGGAGCCCTCCATTAAAGCTTGATGCGGGTGGTTGGCCAACGCGCGTCGCCGTGCGTGGGCGTAGGTGTCGAGCGCGGCCATCCTAGCTCGTGTTCTTTAGGCCCCCTCGCACTGAGGCAGTTCTCAAGAATTCAGGCGCTGCATGAGCGTCCCAGAAGCGAGCTGGTGTCGGGGAGTGCCAGCGTATCGTGCAGGGGTGGACGCTGCGCAAGAAGCCATCGCCCCAGCCCAGCCCCACCTCCAGCTAAGGCCCAGGTCCAGCTCCAACAACAGTCCAGGTTCAACCCCAACACCAGTTCCAAATCCAACACCGTCCCACACTGCAGTTCCGTCTCCAGGTCCTTCTGCAGCCCCAGCCACAGCCCCAGCTCCAGACTCAGCTCAGCTCCAGACCCTGCCCAGCTCCAAGTCAGGCCCCAGTTCCAGCTCAAGCTCCAGCTCCAGCTCAGCGGTACTCCTCATACCTTCCTCATCCACCCTCATCCTGTCTTACCATCTACCAGTCCACCCCCGTGCCACACTCCTCCACCTCCCACCCCCAACATCCGTACATGGTCCTCATCCACCGCCTCTCACTCCTCTTTTATCCTCCTCCTCCTCCTCATGTGCTCATTCTCATATTCCTCCTCATCATCCACATCCTCGGGCATCCCTGGATACATATTGTTGGTGCGGCTGCTGCAGATCATGGTCCTCATCCTCTTCCACCTCCTCCTCATCATCATCCTCATCCTCCGCCTCCTCTTCCTCACCCTCCTCATCATCCTCATCCTCCTCCTCTTCTTCCTCCTCATCGTTCTCATCATCATCTCCCCTCGGTGTTCCATCGTCAGCGTCGACATCGCCAGTCGCACTCAGCTTTGCATGATGGTCGAGCTAGGTAGCATCTGCCCACCGTCAGATGTAGATCACCCTGGACCACGGGTGAGCTGATGTAGTTCACTCCCCAGCCCGAGTGAGCTACATGTAGCTCACTCGGGCTGGGGAGTGAGCGCAATTGAGCTCACTATGGCAGGGGAGTGAGCTACGCTGCGTGGGTAGCGTCGGATGTAGCTCACTCGCGCTGGGGAGTGAGCTCAATTGAGCTCACTCCCCAGCGCGAGTGAGCGCAATTGCGCTCACTCCCCAGCCCGAGTGAGCTACACGACCCGCGCCAGACCGTCAGGTGCGTGGCGTAGCTCACTCGCGCTGGGGAGTGAGCGCAATTGCGCTCACTCCCCAGCGCGAGTGAGCTCAATTGAGTTCGCTCCCCAGCGCAAGTGAGCTACACGGCCCACATCAGACCCTCAGGTGCGTGGCGTAGCTCACTCGGCCTGGGGAGTGAGCGCAATTGCGCTCACTCGCGCTGGGGAGTGAGCTCATCTGAGGTGCCGCAGCTACGGCTCGGCCGAACGAATTGTCGGATACCTGGCCGAAAGGGGGTGGTCCGGTTGTCGGGTGGGGGGTGGGCGCGTCTCTCTCGCGCCCGCCGCCGCCGCCCTCGCCCGCTGCCCTCTTCGCCAACAAGCAGGCGGGCCCGCGCGAGCCCGCGCGTGCTTGCAAGGGAGCGGCTGGGGTGCGCAGAGGAGAAGGCGACAGGGGCTGCCGATGCAGAGGATGATTAGAACAATGTAAATCCAGCGAGTGGCCCAAGAACGCCCCGAGCGGGCCCAAGGTGGCCCCAAGAAGCCCTAGGGGGCCTCCCGTGGGACGAGGCGGATGAGGAGGAGGACATAGATGAGGAGGAGGAGGAGGAGGAGGAGGAGGAGGAGGAGCATGAGGATGGGGGGGAGGAGGAGGAGGAGGAGGAGGAAGGAGGAGGAGGAGGAGGGGGAGGAGGAGGTCTGTGGCCCAAAACCCTGCGGTATTTCAACCCACCTTTTCGCCCCCAAAACGTTGGTTGAAATACATACCATTTTGGGGTTATTTTTCCTCGGAGGAGGAGGGGGAGGAGGAGGAGGATTAGGAGGATGATGACGCTGCTGATGAAATGATGATGGTGAGGAGGAGGAGGAGGAGGAGGAAGATGAGGAGGGGAGACGATCAGGAGGATGATGAGGAATATAAGGAGGAGGAGGAGTCGGAGCCCAAGACGTCCACATGTTGACTTCTGGCAGCTGCGTGTGCCCGAACTGTTAAACCCAACGCGGAGGATGATTACAGGGGGGGCGATGAGGACGATAAGGAGGATGAGGAACACACGTGGTCGACCCTTTGACCTCTCATGGGGCGGTTGCTGGCCACACTTTCGAGGCGAAGCCAGCCACGGCCACGGGAGGTCCGAAATCGCCCGAAACACATGTCAAATGTTTCCCTCCCCCTCCTTCACATCCTCCTTCCCTCCTTCCCCTCCCCCTCCCCCCCCTCCCCCTCCTCCGTCATATAGCCTTTTTGGCTCGACTTGTTTCAAGCTCACTTCGCGCCCTCGCGCCACATACCCTGGCCAGCCGACCTCATGTCCATCGGCGAGCAGCTGGTTGGCAACCTGAGGGCGCGGGTGTCCCTCGTCGCGTCGCAGGTGTCGGCTGGGCTCGACCGCGACAGCATCCTGACCGCCCAGTCGGACGCGTTCGTTGTCGACCTGAGGGGCGCGGGGCCGCTCAGCATCGAGGACGTGACATTGGTATCCAGTGAGATAGCAATTGGCCCATGGAGCCCTGCGCAGAAGGCGAGCCTCGCCACGGCCGTTGGCCAGAGCGGCGGCCCAAGACCTCAGGAGCCTCGGGCCAGGGGGATGCAGACCATGACCTACGTGGAGAGGTTCATGGCCGAGAGCGACTGGGCTCGCTTGCAGGACAGCAACATCTCGGTCGATGCCAAGATCCACCACCTCGCGGAGCGACTTTGGCTACTGGGCATCACGTGCCCGTCGATCCCCTTGCTCAAGCGCGCAGTGGCCATGGTGGTGATGGTTGGGCTTCCTCCTGAGAGCAAAGGGGCCTCGCCAGAGGCCAAGCAACGGTGGTGCTGCGACCTCAAGGCATCCATCAAACGCATCGACGAGCAGCGTGAATGGCCAGGACACCACATAAAGCTGTACGTCGACAATCCCGCGGACTTGCCTGCTAGCGTCCGCGACTTCGCCTACTCGGGCTCTGGGCCACCAGTTGCCCCGCCAGCGTCGGTGACGGCGATGGCCCTCGACCAGCAGATGAAATCGTTCGGCTACAAGAAATCCCACGCCAGTTTGAGTAGGGCTCATCCGACCACGCGCGCAAGCCCAGGAGGGACCATGGTGCCCATCAGCGTCCCGCAGGCGAGCAGAGGCGGCTTCCACGGCATGGAGGGCATGGACGCCATGCAGAGCATGCAGTTTCTGATGCAGATGGCCCCCTTCGTCCAGCAGCTGATGGGCGGCGGCAGCTCCTCAGAGGGCAGTTCCCCTGCGGCAGGCGGCGGCGGCGTGCCGATCACGTTCACGAGCGGGTGCAGGCGCGGACCGCCCAGCAGTGCGGTGAGCCACCACGACACGCTGAGTGCTACAACGTTGCAGATGGCAAACACGCGCAACTCCGAGCAGGACCTGAGTGGCTTCGACTCTCAACTGTCGTCGAGCGGTGGGTCGCCGCCGCCGATCAGCGATGGCCAGCCTCATGGTGGTGAAGTGGCGCTGGTTCCAGTTCAAGCTCCTGCGCGTGCTCCTGCGGGTGCTCTGCCTGACGGACTTCCAGCTGTTCGAGCCGACCCCGCGGCAGAGTTGGAGAGGAAGCTGAACGAGTCAGCGCGTGCTGCTGGGAGCCGCTACACGACGGCAGCAATGAAGCGGCCTGCCGCCGCCGTGTCCGAGATCGAGGAGGAGGGCGAGCAGCCGCCCGAGCCGACGGCGAGGGCGAAGGGCAAGGCCAAGGGCAAGGCCAAGGGCAAGGCGACCGCCAAGCCCAAGGCCAAGCCCAAGGCCAAGTCCACGGCTTCCCACGGGGCTGGCCGCAAGGCCACTGCAACGAAAGGCTTACGGGTCATGGGCAATGAGGAGGAGGAGACGGGGGGGGGGAGGACAAGGGAGGAATGAGTCGGAGGAGGAGGCACAGGAGGAGGCGGAGGAGGACGATGGGGAGGAGGAAGAGGAGGAGGAGGAGGAGGAGGAGGAGGAGGAGGACGATGAGGATGGCAAGGGGCGGAAACTGTGGAGGATGTTGCAAAGCGGTTCTTGACCGAAGAGGGCCTGTGGGAGACATAAGGGGGGCGTCGAGGCATCTACGAGGTTTCGGGTGTCCCCACTTGGCCGCGGGGTCGTTGATGGGGTAGCACATTGCAGCCCCTCATCCTCCTCCTCATCCACCTCCTCCTTCTCCTCCTCCTCATCCGTTCCCTCCTCCTCCTTGTCCTCCTCCTCCGTGTCCTCCTCCTCCTCCTCCTCCCCCTCCTCCTCCTCCCTTCCCAAATTCACACTACTTCCTCAAAGGCATCATGGTGAAGAACGGGGTCGCGATCGACATTAGCGACGTTGTCACTGCGGCCTCGATCGAGGGCAGGGACCGCAACACGTTCGGATCGAGGGCCTACGGTCGGGCCAAAACTCAGGCTACATCGGCTGGGTTGTCTGGTAAGGTCGTTGGCGAGATCGCCAAGTGGGGCTTCGGCGTGGCGACCGAAGTTTGGGACAGCTCCTGAATGCACATTTCAGGTGCATGTCTGATCGCACGCTGCACGGTGAATGTTTGCAAGCATGGGGTTCGCTTCTACTCAATTCCCCAGGTCGCGTGCTTTTTGGCAGTATCATGCTGTTTGCGCCTGGCTGCTGTTTCCAGTGCGCCCAGTGAGGGCGCTGAACGGGGGAGGAAGGGAGGGGTGGAGAAATGGGGAGGAGGAGGAAGCCCGCACGAAGAAGGAGGGAGAGAAGGAGGAGGAGGAGGATGAGGAGGATGAGGAGAAGGAGGAGGATGAGGAGGAGGAGGAGGAGGAGGAGGAGGAGGAGGAGGAATGATGGCTGCGATCGCAGCGCTAGGCGATACAGAAATGAAGAGCTCAGTGCAGGCCAAGCATGGGAAACGATCGATCCCTCGCCTTCGCTATCCCTACGATTCCTCCATGGGGTCCATCCTCCTCTTCGGAGCCTCTGGGTCAGTAATGCGCGCCCCTCCCAAGACGCTGGCAAAACAAACGCCGACGCACGCAAGAGACCAGCAATGAAACAGCAATCGGCAATGCAAGACTACGCAACAACGCAAGACACCTAAATAACACAACTAGCACCTAAGTAGCACAACTAGCGGAATAGGCACCTAATAACACACCTAACGAAGTAAGCAATACGTGATAGATATGCAGTGCCATCCCACGTGCCCTGGTACCCGTCGGCCCCGACCCCATCGACCCCGACCACCCAGCAGTGCAACGGCGTAGCCAGTTTTGGCTCAAGTCTTGCTGGCGTGTCTGGGCGCGCCAGGAGCTATGACGTCTGCTCCTCCTTCGAAGAGAATTCGGACCGTCGTGTATGGCAGGTCGGCTCACGCGACGGCCGCAGCGACGGCCGCCCTGATGGCCGACATCCAGAGAGAGGGCCTCCCTGAGGCGTTCAGCGCGTCGACCTTGACCAGGCACCGCGAAGCCAGAGTCATGGAGGACACGACCTTCGGCCCCCTCCTCGTGCAGAAGCCGCTCGGGTCCTCGGGCGTGGCCGCGTGGTTCCAGCATCCATTTGCGTGGCTCGAGGCGGCTTGCAAGACGTCGGCCTCCTACAGGGAGGCGTTCCTCGATCTGGTCTCGAGGCATGGTGGTTCGATGAACGTGTACATCTACTGCGATGAAATCGTCCCTGGCAACGTCTTGGACGGCAAGAACGCCAGAAAAACGCAGGCGCTCTACTGGAGCATTGCCGAGCACGGCTGGCCCGCCCTCGGCAACGAGCTCTGCTGGAACACCATCGTCGCGATGCGCAGCAAGCTCTTGGAGGAGGTGACTGGCGGCGTCTCCACGGTGATGAAGGAGTGCCTGAAGCTCTTCTTCGGCGGGCCCTCGGGGCCCGATCTCCGACGTGGCGTGGCCCTCCACATCGGCGACCAGGTGTGAACGCTGCCACACCCTCCCCCCCCTTCCCCCTCTGGGGGAAGGGGGGCCTGCGGGCTGACCACCCAGCACTTTTGCTGTCATTGTGTTGGCTACTGCAGACTTGGAGGGGTGAGGAAGGAGGAGGCGGACGAGGAGGAGGAGGACGAGGAGGCGGAGAAGGAGGGGGAGGAGGAGGACGAGGACGAGGGCAATAGGGGCGAGTGGGAAGGGGAAGGAGGGGAATGATGATGAGGAGGAGGAGGACGAGTACGACGAGGAGGAGGAGGCGGAGGAGGAGGAGGGGGAGGAGGCGGAGGAGGAGGAGGAGGACGAGGAAGAGGAGGAGGAGGAGGAGAGCAGCACCAGGAACATGAATTGGAAGAGGATGATGATGATGAGGAGGAGGAGGAGGAGGAGGATTAGGATGATGATGATGATGATGATGCTGATGATGATGATGATGATGAGGAGGAGGAGGAGAAGGAGGAGGAGAAGGAAGACGGGGAGGACGATGAGGCGGAGGAGGAGGAGGCGGAGGAGGAAGAGGAGGAGGACGAGGACAAGGAGGAGGCGGAGGAGGAAGAGGAAGAGGAGGAGCGCTCCGCGCGAGGTCGTAGTTGTGCACGGACAGTTGCAGATCATGATCCAGGACGAGCGGGCCCACAAGTTCGTGCTGCAGGTCAAGGGGGCCGCGGGCATCAAGCCCTGCATGCTTTGTAAAAACGTCGTCAATCCGAACAGCGACCTTCTTCCAGACCCGACTGGGTGGCTGATCCCAGCTCATTGCGTGGACCCCAGCAAGTTCGACCTCTACACCACCGAGGAGATCGTGTCGATCCAGGACCGTCTCGGAGCTGCTCATGCGAGGGGGGACTCGAGCGAGCTGAAGCGGCTCGAGGTCCTATTCGGGTGGGCTTTCCAGCACGATGGCCTCCTTCAGGATCGGCAGTTGGCTGTGCCTGTCGCGGAGGCCGTCGCTTGGGACTGGATGCATTGCTACATGGTCGGCGGGCTGTACGAGAGAGAAACGGATGAGCTGCTCAAGAGGCTGAATGTGATTGGCAAGGGTCCCAGTTGCTTGCACCAGTATGCTCAGGCATGGCGCTGGCCGAAGGGCTATGCGGATGCCAAGAAGGTGCTGTCAGGTGGGTCCGTGTCTGGCAGTGCGTCTGAATATGTTTCACAAGCGCCCATTCTCCAGCGTTATCTGAACGATGTTGTATCCAGCGCTGAGGGCGCTGGAGATTTCAAAGACGAGATTATGAGTGGCTTTCTTTTGTGTGACGTGATTAACTTGTTAATCATGAGCAACGCTGGCCTTGTAACCCCCAAGCTATTGGCCGACACAATTGCAGCCCACATGCAGCGCCATAGGCGTGCATACGGTGTCGAATTGTTCAGGCCAAAGGACCACTGGATTTTTCACCTTCCGTCGCAGCTAGAGCGACATAAATGCCTCCTCTCCACATTCCTCATGGAGAGGAAGCATCGCGTCATCAAAAAGGTGGCCAACGGCCGCCACAACACGCAGGGGTACGAGAAAGGCATCATGGTGGAGGTGAGTTTACAACACCTCCACGATGTGGAGCATCATGCGATTTTCGGTGTAGACCTCCTGGGCCCCAAGCCCGCCAGTAAACGCCTGATTGAATCCCTGTGTAGAGTGCTGCCCATCGGCAGCCCGACTGAGGTGACCAGTTCTGCGTCTTGTTCCGTGCGTGGTAGGGCAATCTGCATGGGGGATTGCGTGGCATTCGAGAATGCTTTGCAGCAGGTTGCTTTTGGTCAGGTCCTTTTCCACGCGAAGGTGCATGGCCGTCTCGTTTCTGGCGTCTCGGAGTGGGATACCCAAGAAATGGGCGCCACTTCTGCTAAGTGCGTCGTGCGTGCGACTGCAGGCATTTACCCGACCTCTAGCCTCATAGAGGCATGCGTTTTTTGCCCTGCTGCCGAGGGGTCCGTTGCCACGGTACTTTATCCCCATAAGGTCAAGATGCGGTGCACCGCATAAGTACGTGCATGCGGGAAGGAGGGATGAGGAGAACAAGAAGAGGAGGAGGGAGGAGGAGCAGGAGGAGGCTCGCCCAGCGCGATGTTTCACCATGTTTCACCCCAAAGCCCCGCTGACGCACTGGAGCAGCTGGTGGCAAGGGCGGGTGCTCACTCTCCCTCCTGCTGCTGCTGTTGCTGCCGCTGCTGCTGCGCATTTCCTCCTCCTCCTCCTCCTCCTCCTCCTCCCCCTCCTCCTCCCCATCCTTCTCCCTCCTCCTCATCCCCATCCTCCTCCTCATCCTCCTTCTCCTCCTCATCGTCCTCTTGCTCCTCATCATGGTGCTCCTCCTCCTTCTCCTCTTCCTCCTTCTCATCCTCCTCCTCCTCCTCATCATCTTCCTCCTTCTCCTCTTCCTCCTCCTCCTCCTCCACCGCCTCCCCTTCCTCCTCCTCCTCCTCCTCATCCTCCTCCTCCTCATCTTCCTCCTCCTCCCCCTCACCCTTCTCCCCATCCTCGCTCGTCGTCGTCGTCGACGGCGTCGTTGTCCTTGTCATGCTCACCCTGCTCCTCCTGAACCTGATCATGCTCCTGCTTCTCCTCCTCCTCCTCCTCCTCCTTCCCCTATAGCTCATCCTCCTGATCATCCTGGTATGTATCTTCCTCCTCCTCCTCCTCCTCCTATTCCTCCTCTTCCTCCTCTTCCTCCTCCTGCTCATCCTCCTCATCCTCCTCCGCCTCCTCCTCCTCCATCCTCGTCGTCATCCCCCACCTCCTCCTCCTCTTCTCGTCGTCCTCGTCGTCGTCCTCGTCCTCCTCCTCCTCCTCCTCCTCCTCCTCTTCCTCCTCCTCGTCCCCATCCTCCTCCTCCTCCTCTTCCTCCTCCTTCTCCTCTTCCTCCTCCTCCTCCTCCTCCTCCATTCTCCTCCGCCTCCTATTCCTCTTCATCCTCATTATCCTCCTCCTCCTCCTCCTCCTCCTCCTCCCCCTCCCCACCTCCTCCTCCTCCCACTCCTCCTCCTCCTCCACCTCCTCATCCTCCGCTTCCTATTCCTCTTCATCCTCATCCTCCACCTCCTCCTGTTCCTCCTCCTCACCCTCGTCGCCCTCCTCCTCCTCGTCCTCCGCCTCCTCGTCGTCGTCGTCCTCCTCCTCCTCCTGCTCCCCCTCCTCCTCCCCCTCCCCCCCCCCCTCCTCCTCCTCCTCGTCCTCCTCCTCCTCCTCCTTCTTATCCTCCTCCTTCTCCTCCTCCTCACCTTCTCCTCCTCCTTGTTTTCCTGCCGCCGATTTTCCTCTGGCCGAGGGTCGCCGCCGCACCTGTTCGACGGGAATCGGTGCCACCAGGTCATGGGCACCACGGATGCAGAAGCACGCGCACTTAGGATGTGAAAACGAAGGGCCCTCCCCAGTATCCTCCTCCTCCTCCTCCTCCTGCTCCTGGTTGTTCGTTGTTCCTCGGGATCGGTGGCCCAAGCGTGGCTGAGTGTGCGGGCCCAACCCTGTGCAACCGAATGGGGTGGAAGAGGATCCGTCCCCTAGCTATGAGGGTGCTTTGCTGTGGCGCAAGTTTTGGCCGAGCTGGAGATCCAGGGCTTCGCCCCGCCCGCCGACCTGGGAATGAACAAACGCAGGGCTTCCGCCCCCCCCGCCGACCTGAACAATTAAGGGTTTCCGCCCCCTCCCCCTTCCCCTTTCCTGCTCCCCCGCCGACCCGAGAAGGTAAGCTATGTAGGTTAGCCTACTTAGGCTAACCTGGTTAGCACGGCCCCCTAACCAAGATAGCAGCCGCGTTGCTATTCAGGTTAGCTAAGTAGGTGAAGTAGGAAAGTAAGTGGATATAACCACTCTATGTGGATATTAACCACAGCGGCGGTCCCAGTAGTGGGCCATGGCCGTGTGCATGCCACATGCATCCGGACCTCCCCCGCTACCCGTCCCCTGACGGCGAGTGCCGCGCATTCGCCCCGCAGGACACATGGCCCCGGCCCGCTCACCTCTCGCACCTGCGCGCCCTGCGCTGATCCCAGGCGCAGTACACTGCCGCATGCCGCCGCCTGCTCCGGCGCCTCGTGGCTGCGCTACGGCTCGACTGGCGGCCTTCATCGACTGCTGCGTCCACGACGTGGTATCCAGCATTGCCTTCGACTTCAAAGCGCCGCACCTCCCGTTGGACTTCGACCCCGTACCGGAGTCGGTCATTCGCGCTGGCCGGTCACTCACACGGGGCCTCGTCGTCGAAGAATTTCAGAAGACCAGGCACGCGCTCGTAGCTGAGTGTCCCCGCCGAGTGCAGTTGCTCTGCACGGCCCTGTTCGGCATCACGGGGCAGAACCCGCACTTCGTGTACCACCCGGGCTTGACAGCCGAAGCCGTACTCCAGCAGGTGGTCTCCGTCCCTGGCCTCGGGGCCGATCTCCAACCCGCTCGCCTGTCTAACCCTCGCCATTGGCGCATGGCGTCGGCGTCGGCCCCAAACAAGAAACGAGAAAAACCAGACAGCCGACGACCGCTCGTGGACCGTTCGCACTGGCCGACACAGGGCCTCGAGTCGCCAGCAGCACGAGCAATCGATTGGATCAGCGGCACAGGCATCCCTGAGCACCTCCACATCGACGCGCAGCGCACCGACTTGCTGCTGCCGTTGCTCGAGCGCTTCAGCGAACTGGCCCCCCACGGGCCCGTGCAGAAGTACGGGAGCGACCTCACCGCCTGCTTCACGAACATCCCACACTGCCTTGTACGCCGGGCTTGGGCCTTCTACCAGGAGGTCCTGACTGCACGGGACATCTCGGCCATCGCCGCCCCGCGCCGGCGCGGATTCGCACGAACCCTGCCGTTCGAGCCGCCCAGGGCCTCGCCCCTCCACGTGGTCTTCCGGCCAGCGGACCTCACCGCTGCCATCGGGCACAGCCTCGCGAACCTCTGGCTCGCGGTGGGCACGCTCGTCGGTCGAGCCTTCGACGGACTCGCAATGGGCAGCTCTTTGGCCGGAGCCCTCACCCGTATGGTGCTTATCTACTGCGACGTCGTGTTCCACGCCACCCTCTACAGTGGGCGCGGCCTCCCGCCGCCTGCTCGCTCCAGAGTCCGGTATTACGTCGTCGAGGGTGTCCGCATCCTCATCCTCGAGTCCCGGTACATGGACGACTACATATGCCTATGGAAGGCCTCGGTAGACACGCCACCTGCGTCTCTCCGTCGCGTAGCGGATCACATTGCTTCTTGGCCGTCTTTACGCTACCCGCTCCCGAGTGAGACAGACGGCGGCGATGTCATCACGGGCATGCGGCTTTCCCTAGATTCGTGTGGGAGTCTCGGTACGGCCGGCGTCCCTCGATCTCGGGTCCTACTCGGACGACTTCCAATACCCACCGTACATGCACTTCCGCAGTTTCGCTCCGAACGCCACCAAGAGAGCCATCGTCCTCGGCCTCATCGCGCGGACCGACGCCTTCACGTACCCCCCGGACGCGAAGGCGGCCGCGCTCGCCGAGCTACTCACGCTCCTCATCACGGCGGCGGAGTTCCCAGCGGCTGTCGTAAAGCGGTGGGCCACGCAGAGCCAGGTGAGCGCCCCCAGGCCATGGGTCACGAAGGCATGCGAGCAATGGGAGGCTCGTTCTGCCTGATCTCCCCTTTCCCCCTCTTCCCTCCTCCTTCCCCCCCTGCCCCCGTCGTTCCGGGTGCGGAGCGCAGGCTTGTTCTTGCGGTGTGACCTATTAGCGGGGTGCCCCCCGTCAAAACAGATGCCTGGGCGCCCGTACCGCCGGTCTCCCCCCCCTCCTCCTCCCTGCGCCTCCCTCCCCCCTAGGTGTTGTCTGCCGCTGCCCGCTCAGGCCTTTCCCGTTGCATCGGGAATTCAAGGGGGTACGCCGTTGCATCGGGAATTCAAGGGGGTACGCCGTTGCCTCGGCAATTCAAGTGGGTACGCCGATCGATCGAGCTGCCCGCTCAGGCCTTTCCCGCTGCATCGGGAATTCAGGGGGGTACGCCGTTGCTTCGGGAATTCATGGGGGTACGCCGTTGCCTCGGGAATTCAAGGGGGTACGCCGATCGATCGAGTTGGCGGTTGGATCTGGGTTTGCCACCGACGGATGCTGAAACGCAACGCCGGGGGACCGACCGGAAACTGGTCCGTCGATGTTGTGAAAATTTTGTCCTGGAGGTTCCGGGGTGTGTGGCGTATACACAGTCTCGGAGTCGAAACTGTGTATGCTGGTTTGTGGGCCCCCATTTGCAGGAATCCCGCCTCAGGAATGAGGGGCATCGCGGGCATCGCGGACGGCATCGACACTCGGAGTGGCCCCCCTCCCTCTCGCCCCTCCCTTCGGCGAGGACCGTCAATAGGCCTCGTCGGTGAGGACCGTCATTAGGCCTCACACCCCTCGCAGCTTCCATCATTGGGGTTGCGAAGGTTCCCGCTCCCACCAATAAACCTTCCATTTTGCCGTCAATAGGCACCGGAGGGGGCCGAGGACCCCCCTACGGTCCCTCGGCCAACGAAGACGGCCGTAGGGGAGGGTGCCCCGTACCTCCATCTCAAGGCATTCGTGCCACCACCTACCATTCCAGGCACCAATTGCCACCCACCACATCTATCCTCCTCCTCCTCCTCCTCCTCCTCCTCCTCCTCCTCTTCCTCCTCTCAAGCCATCTGGGCCCAAGCATTTTGCCTGGGCACAGGCGTCTGCCTCCTACGTGGTGCTTGAGGGGCACCAGCCGTCGCCAACATCCACATACTTTCTGCATCCCTCAGATCACCGAGGGATTTTTTGGGGGCGATTTAAGCTGGTTGGCTAAAGAGACGCAAGTATTTCCTGAGAGATGGCACGGAACAGCGGAAGCAAAAAGGCCGCAACTACCGCGGCAGCAGTCCAGCGGCAGCAGAAGTCCGACTCCTGGAGCAAGTGCGGCAAGTGCGGACGTTTCGTGTGGACCAGTAAGCTGGAAAGCAAGCGGTGCATTTGTCAAGCATGTGGATCGTGGGTCGCCCTTTTCCAGCCGAAGAGCAAGCCGCCCAAGGCGGCACAGCCAGCTTTAGTGGGAGGAGTCACGTCAGCAGCAGGAGGAGGCGGCGAGCAGCCGATCAACCCCGTCGCCGCTTTCGAGACCGCTCTGGAAGTTGCGGTGGACCCAGCAGCGAAGGCACTCTTGGAGCAGCAGCTTGCCCAGGCGCGCAAGGCGGCGCCGCAGGCCTCATCGCAGACCTTGAATGCAGACGAGGTTATGCGCAAAGCTGCTGGAGCGTGGCGTGACGCGAGCACCAAGCACGACCAAGCCATTGCTCAAGTGCTTCGGTGTCGTGACAACCTAGCTCGGGCAGGGGCTCGAGATCAAGAAGCAGCGATCACCCTGGCCGAGGCTGAGATTGTTCGGAGGCACGCCGCGGCAGCGCTGGCCAAGGAAGTCGGCGACGGCACCGCCGAGATGAAGTCGCAGACCAAGAAGGCTACCGAGGACATCATTGAGCTGCACTGAGACGAGCAGTTATTCGACGAGCTGCGCGCGCTCGAGTGCGAGCAGAGCGAGCTGGACAAGCTCGCTTATTTCGAGAAAGAGTTCAAGCAAGCGAAGGAGACATTGGCATCGAAGGCTACCGAGATCGCCAAGAGGAGACATTGGCATCGAGGGCTACCGAGATCGCCAAGTGGAAGACCGATGCGCTGGCCATCAAGTCGCAAGTCAAGGAGCGCATGGCCAAGAAGCGCCGCGCAGGAGCCGACGGCACTCGGGCAGCCAGCGGAGGCGAGGACGGCGGCGCTAGCCAAGCTAGCGCGCCCGAGGGCGCCGCAGCGGCACCCGCAGCGTCGGCGGCCGCGGGCGCCCCTGATGCGCCGTCAGCTGAGGAGGTGGCCGATGAGGCAGCACGCTCGTCGGCGGCCAAGCTCGCCGCAGCAGCAGCGGCAACAACGGCGCAGGTGCAGGCGGTGCCCGCCAGCGGGCCAGCCGCGGCCTCGGCCTGAGGCCATGCGGCTGGCCGCGCCGCCGCCCAGAGCGTGGCTCTGGCTGCCGCGGCGCCGCTGGCCGAGCCGCTCTCGACCTGCGAGGGTGGCTCAGGCGCTGTTCTGGGGTCGCCAGGCGTGGCGGAGCTACCTTCCTCGATTTCGGCTACAGAAGACAGTAGGGTCGAGATTTCACGACTATTCTTCTCGAGTGCCACGGCCCTCGGACCGAAGGCCTGGGAATATCTCACACACAAAAATCGGATTCGCCAATTTGAGTACATGGGGCTGGTGGAAACACATGTGGGAACACGCGCTCGACAAGAGTGGGCGCGACAAGCTCGCAACCTCAACCTCAAGTACTTAGACAACTGCGCTCGGCATCGGGGGAGCTGCAGTGGTGATAATGATAGTTGTAGAGATGCTCACTCGAACGAAGGAGGGGAACTTGTTCTGGCGCATGGGCACCGTCATGTTCATCGTTTCGCAGCTAAGGGTAAAGAATTTCCTCACCTCTGCGCTGATGGCGGAGAAGGGCTGGATGGTTTCTGCCTGTCATTATACATCAAAAAGGTTTCTCTTTTGTCGCAGTCATGTTCTACGGCCACTCGCCAGTGGGATGTCATGGCGACAACATTCAAATATACTCTCGCCTCGGGGCTTTCCTGGGGACACTTCAGCTACCATGGCTGGCGGCACGAATTTTCAATATCGGCGCGCACGAGGTCCAGCGATCGCAGTTACTTCAGCAGATCCAGGGCCACACTATCAAAACACCAGTGGAGTTCACACAGGTCGGAGGAAGCGGAGATTCTCACATCGACTTCGTGGTGGCCAATGCTACGTGCCTACCCTTCATTCGCGACGTCGCGGCAGTGCAGGATGTGCCGTGGGCTCCGCGCTGTGGATTGGCCATCGCCTTCAAGAGCTCTGGAGAACAGCTCTTGGCTCGCACGATGCCGTCGGCGCCTCGCTTGGCTCAACTCGCTCGCCCGTCGCAGCCGGCAACTTCTGACAATGAGTCGAGTGTCGCAAAAAAGAAACGTGCAACTGAGATTGTTCTGAGCCGTGAGAAGCGCCGTGAGAGATGCCACGAGCTGTTTTCGGATCTCTTCCAGAGCCGCTCGAGCAATGGGAAAGTCGCAGGCGAAGGGTCCTGCATTGTACATTCGTCGGGGCCTCCGTCCGTGCACCCTGGACTCGGCGGCCTAGGGGAGGAGGGTCCCGATTTAATTTTGCGTTGAGACGGCGTCGAGGAAAAAGATCCCTGGGCTGAGGAGAGTAGCTTTCATCCCGTCAGGGCCGAGGCCGAAATGCTTGAGACCCGTGTCGGGCCAATTTTTGGAGCAGCAGCGTCTTGCCGTGGAGGGCGCCTGGGGGGCGCTGGTGAGTTGGGCGATCTTTCGAGGGAGTGTTGGGCCGACCCCAGCGACGACGCAACCCCTGGCCCCACAGTTCAGAGTGTTGAAGGCACTCTTCCGAGCTCCAGTGCTAATGCTGCTGCTTCTCGTCTCTCCCCTTCTTTCGCTGTTCCTGGATCTATGTGGCTCAAGCATTGGGCACGAGTCGGTTGGCAAACACACTCTTCTGACGATGTCTGGCCTGCAGCTCGCGAGTCTCTGGCATATGCAGCAGCTGGACTACGCATTCTTCATATCAGTTCGCGATGCGCTTCGTGGGTCGCGGCAGTAGAGCAGAGCATCAGCGAGCACCGCGGGCTCTCGGCGCCTCGCCGATCACGAGCTCAAGGACCATATCAAGAGACCAGTGCAGTACATCAAGCAGAGCACGTTCGCGATCAGGCTCTGCGAGATGTCATGCGTCATGGCGGGCGCGAATGTGCACGGTTGTTCGGCGAGTGGAACGGCGTCGTCGAAGGAACAACGGCAAGCTTCAGGTTCAGCAATTGAAGGAGAGCGGCCTCAAGTTGGTCAACACCGCTCCAGCCGGAACCCGCGAACTTTTCACGCCTGGGAAGGAGTCTTGGGCAGAAGTAGTGGAACAGCTGAAGGATTTGGATCGTCTTTCGCTGGGGCAGTTGACAGTTCTTGGTCAACTGATGGAGAAGGGCGCCAAGCGCGGACAGGCTCGAGGGACGAGTCAGTCCCTACGGATATTTCAAGAGTGGATTTGTACTGCATGCGCTCTGGGGATGGTGCACCGCAGCATCAACCAGAATCCTGTCGAGGTCGACGAGCTGCATTTCGAAGGTAAGTGTGCCGCTCACCCTATCGATATAGTTGACAGGAAAGTCGACTTCTGGCATCGGAAGTGGAGTTCGGATACCTTGTCGGCTGAACGGTTTTTAGACGCGATGTATACTATCAGGCAGCAGGCTTTGGTCGGGCAGCTGGAGCCCTTGACAGTTTCCGATCTTCGGCGCGCCCTGGCGCGCATGAAGCCGAAGGCGGGCCTCGGGTGCGACTAGATGTCGCCGGTGGATTTCAAGCGTCTGCCTGATGCGGGACTGGAGCAACTGTGTCAGCTTTGCCTTCTTATCGAAGAAGGGTTAACATGGCCATGGCAGATAATGGTCACGATCGGAAAATTGTTGGGCAAGAAGTCAGGGGGCGACAGGATCATAAGCCTCATATCAATGATTAATCGGTTGTGGAGCCTCGCACGCGAGGATCAGATGCGCGCGTGGGCGGTGCAGTCAGCACCGCACTGGGGCACAGCAGTAGCAG